ATATTGCTGTGATGTTTTTTGCAACTTCCTTATGCCTGACGCATCATGCATCTATTTGTTTATTGCCTGTATACACTTCCCCATAAGAGCGTGAGCTCTGTGAGGAACTTTGTTTTATTCACTTCTGTATCCACAGTACCTAGAATAGTACTTGACATGCGCCAGTGCTCAATAAATAGGAGTTAAAGGAATGGCCCTAGACCCCTTCCTACCTGTGATTTCAGCATGTCAATTAGCCCCTCTAGAAAGGGTGGACAACTGTCCCAATTTTCCAGAACTGAGGTAGTTCCCAGAACTAGAGGTTCCCAGAACTAGAGGTTTTCAGTGCTAAAACCAGGCAAATCTGGTTTTTCCCAGACAAACATGTTGGTCACCCTACCTCTAAGTCTAAGTTTCCTCATCTATTACAAACAAACAGGCAGCGGTGGCTCACGCCTGTAATCCTAGCACTCTGGGAGGCCAAGGCGGGTGGATCGCTCAAGGTCAGGAGTTCGAGACCAGCCTGAGCAAGAGCGAGACCCGGTCTCTACTAAAAAATAGAAAGAAATTACCTGGACAACTAAAAATATATACAAAAAAAATTAGCCGGGCATGGTGGCGCATGCCTGTAGTCCCAGCTACTCAGGAGGCTGAGGCAGGAGGATCGCTTGAGCCCAGGAGTTTGAGGTTGCTGTGAGCTAGGCTGACGCCACGGCACTCTAGCCCGGGCAACAGAGTGAGACTCTGTCTCAAAAAACAAACAAACAAACAATCTTCCTCATAGAGTTGAATGAGAACTAAATGAGAGCATGTGTATAAAATGCCAGGCCTATTGTCTAATATATCGCAGGCCCTAGAAGTGTGAGTTGTAATTGTGTCTTTCTTTTTTTTTTTTTTTTTTTTTGAGACGGAGTCTCACTGTGTTGCCCGGGCTAGAGTGCCGTGGCGTCAGCCTAGCTCACAGCAACCTCAAACTCCTGGGCTCAAGCGATCCTCCTGCCTCAGCCTCCTGAGTAGCTGGGACTACAGGCATGCGCCACCATGCCCGGCTAATTTTTTTTGTATATATTTTTAGTTGTCCAGGTAATTTCTTTCTATTTTTTAGTAGAGACCGGGTCTCGCTCTTGCTCAGGCTGGTCTCGAACTCCTGACCTTGAGCGATCCACCCGCCTTGGCCTCCCAGAGTGCTAGGATTACAGGCGTGAGCCACCGCGCCCGGCCCGTAATTGTGTTTTTACAACCTGTTTCCCTGGACTTCAGCCAAGGTGAACAGCCTGCATGCCCTCTTGACCATGGGCCCTAGCCTACGCCCTGCACCCTGCCAGGAGCAGTGGAAGACAGTTCAAGGATGCCATTTTGTTTGGGCCATTTTGATACAGCTATTTTGGTGCATCAAAGTATGTTTAGACTTTTAATGGAGCCCCTTTGGTACACAGACATTTAAACTCTAACCTTTTAAACAAACATTAACCGTTCAGATTCTAAAATTTTGATTTATCAAGTACTGTACTGTGCAAAAAATAATCTCTGCTGAAGTGAGGGCCAAGTGGGGGGAGCAGCATCCAGGTGGTGAATGACCAAGGGGCATTTCTTACCTGGAGAGGGCCATTGAGTGATTCTAAGCAAAACATTGGTTCATTGCCTGGAAATTCACTTCAAGCTTAAATGGTTAGCCTCTCGAAGTCTCAGATTTCTCCCTTAAAATTTAACATACCGGGGGAAGGAAGATGGTTTGGGTTACAACAGGATCCATCGTTCTCAACTCCAGATCAACACAGGAAATCTCCCACGACCCTCCCAACAGCTCTGTCTGTTCCCAGGAATAGCCGCGTTACATTTAAATACCATAAACCTTATCATGATGGTTTTGGGGCACAGGATTGATACCCCTTAGAGGTTAAGCTAATTATAAAAGACTTTTTTTAAACTACCTTTTTTCTTATTATAAAAATACAATATTCTTTTTTAAAATCTCCAAATGATTTAGAAATGAATGCCATAGAAAGTGAAACCCCTGGTGACCCAGGAATGGAGAAAAGATCGGTGTGTCCAAGCTGCTCATTACTTGGGAATAAGAGCAGACGGTGGATCCTTTGCAGCAGTTTTGTTGGGTTTAGATTTGTCACGTTGCCCCCAAATAAAGTCACACATCCAGTGGCAGGGGCACAAAAAAGAGCCACCTCTCCACTTTCATTACATTTCTTCATTTTAAAAACATCACTGGAGCCTCACAAAACAAAAGCTTTGTGAGCTTCTGTTGCCCTACAAAGGCCCTAGTGGCATCAAAACACTGACTCAGAAGTCCCTGACTCAGAATCGCCCCTATTGCAAAAGGTGTTGCTGCAATTGCAAAATATCCTGCTTTTGACTGGAAAGCCCCATTTCCTACCCTACTCTGTCACTGGGACTTTATTCTCAGCTCAGAGGAGTTTCCTGACCAGGCAGGAAGGGGTCAGAACCCAGGATACCCTTCATGTCATTTCACAGTCTCATCCTTTCTCCGTTCAGTAGTCGGAGGTGGCCTGGGAGGGGCTGGGGTACCACCTTCCAGAGTCAGGAACAGCTGCTGGTTCTAGTGAGACCCCAGTCAACACCCTTCTGGCCTAACTTGAGAATTTCTCAAACTCCTGGGCTCAAGCGATCCTCCCGCCTCAGCCTTCCAAGATGCTTGGATTACAGGCATGAGCCACCTCACCCGGCCACAACCTGAGAATTTCATATATCTGCCATCTGCACCATAAATGTGCATTTCGGTTCACCCACTTTTTAGAGAAAATATTGGGTTTGGGGGTTATTTTCTCAGCAGGATCTAGTGAACTGGATGTTTGTTGTCAGCTATTAAACCAAAAGCACCAAAGACTCTGTAATATAAAATATGTGGCCCAAGTGGACAATAAGTTAAATTGAACCAACCAAAACTTGTGGAAGCTTGGATCCCAGGCTGGGCACACCAGGGCGCTCCCACACAGGGCTGTTTGTTCAGCCTGACATCAGAATGCCATGACTGCCCCATGGGAGCTACCCATCCTGAGCCTCACTGGTCAGATGGAGAGTGACTGCCATGGGTAATAATGAACAGCAAAATCGTAGATCATTGTTACGCAGGAGACAATGTTGTAAAGTGGTTTAATAGAATGAATTTGGATCCTGGCTCTGCACAAGTCACCAAGCCACAGAGTCTGGCAATGACAGACCCAGCCCTGCAGGGGCGCTGCAGAGATTTTAAGACATAGTGGTGATAAAGCAAACAGTGCCGGGCACAGAGGAAGCACGGGTGAAGGGCAAATTGTATTTTCAATAAAACATCTTTAAGCCAAAAATTTCTTGGGAAGGAAAGAAAGTTTAAATTAAGATATGCCACCTAAGTGGTAAAAATATCACTGTTTTGCAACCACCATTGTAATAATTGATTTAGGAAAGGATCATCAATGAGTCCTAAAACCACTGGGTGAAAGAGTGTGGGAGAACAAGACATTTCCCCATGCTCAGGTTACTTATGAATTATAGAGAAAAAAATGTCATTTCACAATGGAGAGACTTCAAGGACACTTGGATATTACCCGCAGTCTAACAATGAGGAAACAATCACAGAAATCTACATTGAGGGAAATTCTGCTTGGGATGGACTTTTAAAAATATTAAAGTCTTGAAAGAAAAAAAAAAGAGAGGGAAGTGTGGGGATGTTATAGATAAAAGGAAACTGTAGAAAGTCGTCAACTAAAAGCAATGCATGATCTCTGGATCCTGGGTTTAAAAAAAAAGCTATAAAGGACATTTGCAGGACAATTGGAGAAATTTGATTATGGACTGATTATAGTATTATAACCAGGTATGTTTTGGGGTGTGATAATTATGTTGTGATTATTTAAAATAATATCCTTGCATCCTTATTCTTAGTGTTTAGGGTATCAAGGGTATTTGGAGTGATATGCAATAATGTTTTTGTTACCAAATAGTTCAGAAAAAAGTGTGTGCGTGTGTGTGTGCGTGCATGCTTGCACACACACATGTGAGAGAGAAAGAGAGAAGCAGAAAATATTATAAAATATAAACAGTTGGTGAATCTAGGTAAAGGATATATGCTTTCATTGTACTATGCATTCCATTTATCTGTAGGTTGAAAATTTTTAGAACAAAAGGTTGGGGATAAAAATTACAGTACGCAAAAGGACAGAAGTAGGTAAGTAAGGTAGAAGTCAGCTTGGCCCACAAGTAGCTTCCATTAGTTTCAGAGCCACCTCTGGGGCCCCGCATCTGGCTGTGAGCTGAAGAATGCCTGGACCTGTTCCTCGTTGTGTCTTTAGCATCCTGGCACAGTGTCCAGAACATGTGCTCAGCAAATGTGCGAGGAAGAGCACCCTGGCTGCCAGGTAGCAAGGGCTGAGTCGGCTCTGGGAATAGACCAATCAGGATAGCACTCTGGGCATCGCATTTCAAAGCCTTCATATTGCTGGAAGGACCAGACAACCGGAGCTGAGTCTACAGGGGCGATGTGAGGGCTTGTCCCCTGGCAGTCCCCTTCTGGCTTCACCTGCCTTCTTGGGCGGGGAAGGGCAAAGCTCTCAGGGCTGTATTTGCTGCCCACCCCTTCCCCTTAACCCTGGAGTGTGGAGGACAATCATTGGCCAGAGGGGCTGACCCTCAGCATGGTCCTCTCTGTTCCCACTCACCCACTCCAACAACCCCCTATCCAGGCAGGAAGAGAGAGTAGATAGAGCCTCTGGAACCCAATCCCAGACCCTCCCTTGCAGACTTGCCCACCACTGTGCAGTCTGGCATGGAGGTGGGAGATCAGGTTCCGGGGATCACGTGTCTGGCAAGGCATTGAGCCCTCCCAACTGGAAAAGCCTCTGAACCTGTGAGAAGAGAACACACAAGCCAGCGTTGACACACCCTTACCCTTAGTCTCGGTTCGCATCAAAGCACAGAGCATTTCCTGTTTCTTTTCCGTTATTTCACAAGCTGCATCATCTTGGTCACGCTCAGGGCTCCAGGACATAGGGCTGCTTCTCCTGCCAGAGGCCAGACAGCTGGCTCCAGCCTCTCCTGCTCAGCACCATGGTCGGGACCCTGAGTGATCATCTGCTATCCACCCTGGAGGAGCTGGTACCCTACGACCTTGAGAAGTTCAAGTTCAAGCTGCAGACCACCAGTCTAGAGAAGGAGCACTCCCGGATCCCCTGGGGCCAGCTCCAGACAGCCAGGCCCGTGAAGGTAGCCAGACTGCTGGTCGCCTACTACGGGGAGGAGTATGCTGTGCGGCTGACACTGCAGGTCCTGCGGGCCATCAACCAGCGCCTAGTGGCAGAGGAGCTCCACAGGCTGACTGGCCAGGGTAAGCGGCCCAGGTCCCCTTCCTCGCCCAGCGCTGACCGCTGGCTGCCCCTTGGAGGAGGGAACAGATGCTTAGACCAGCGCACTCCAGCTTGGGGGTTAGCGGTCCCAGGTCTACCAGAGCCTGAGAGACTTTAGTCAGGCGTGTCCCTTCCCTTGCTCTGGCCTTTGGAGCTGGGTTAGTAAAGTTCCCTAAAGCTCCCAATGGTTTAAAAAAATAAAGGCAGGTCAGGATCAGGAGAGGCAGGAGTAGAGTGCCTGTTCTTAGAGAATTCTTCCCTTCATTTGTGATTAATACTCATGTCAGACAAGTATCTTTGGGTTAGCAAAAAGGGCTTGCTAACCAATCCCATCAGCAGGGTTGGTAAGTAACCTCATTGTTATCTATTAATACCTAATTTCAGTTTTGAGTTACTCCTTAACACACTCTACAAGGGTATTTTAAAATTCTCAAAAGAACCCCTCTCCTTTCTCCTCTCTCCCTCTCTCTCTCCCCCTCCCTCCCTTCCTTTCATCCTTTCTTCTGCTCTCCTTTTGTTGTAACTTTCTGATCTTATTACATTATGATCAAACAATGTGGCCTACTTTATTTCTCCTTTTAAAGACTTTTTTGAGATTTTGGGGAGTGTAATAAATGGTTAGTCTAAAAAAAATTATCTTTGGTGTTTGCATTTTTCTTCTCTTTATAGACTTTAAGACAGTATCAGAAATGCTTTCCATATATTATGTATTTCTATGAGGTAGAACAGTTAAACAATATAAAAATTCCCAGCACTTTGAAATAGTAATAGAACTTAAACCATAATCTGAGTCTGGTGTAATTTGATGAGTGTAATTTCTTTTTTTTTTTGAGACAGAGTCTGGCTCTGTTGCCCGGGCTAGAGTGCCGTGGTGTCAGCCTAGCTCACAGCAACCTCAAACTCCCGGGCTCAAGTCATCCTCCTGCCTCAGCCTCCCAAGTAATTGGGACAACAGCTGCGTGCCACTGCACGGGGCTAATTTTTTCTGTTTTTTGTAGAGACAGGGTCTCGCTCTTGCTCAGGCTGATCTCGAACTTCTGGCCTCAAGCCATCCTCTCACCTTGGCCTCCCAGAGTGATAGGATTACAGGGTGAGCCACCTCGCCAGGCCTGGGGTTTTATTTTATGTCTTTTATTTAATTTTATGTTAAGTGCAGAGAAGATTATTCATAAGATTTCTGGGACAGGGGTGGGGAGCTCCTGGAACGAAGGGTTCCTCTTCTTTCTAAATCATACAGGATAACTTCAGGAGTTTTCATGGCATTTGTAAACTGTGATGGCACTGGTGGGAGTTTCTTTTAGTATGCTAATACATTATAAGCAGTGAGGGTAAATTGAGGTCTTTTCTCGAGGCCATCTTGGTTCTAGCTGGTGTTGGTCAGCTTCTCCACTGCTTCCTGTTTTATCAGAGACCTTGGTTGGGGCTTATGACTATCGAGCAGGGCCTCCTGGCTCTGCTCATAACCAAAGAAAACCAAAGAAAAATACAGAAATAATTAGTTTTAGGTTTTAACTGTTTTTCGTAAATGCTGATTGCAAATTTTTGTGCAGATGAAACACCTTCGTTCCTCTTTATTAATTTTATAAGTGAATTTTGTACATCTATAAACATATATACATTTATACCAATAGAGTTTTTATTTATTTTATGTCTTCAAGTTGTGTTTAAGATCTTATTTGAAACAAGTTCTCCTGCTTAAAAAGTATGAAAAGTACTATTTGAGAAATATATAGCAAATAATTAGTATATTCTTAATGGTAATTGACAGCCATTGTCTGGAATGTTCTGAACTTTGTTCTAATTTTTGAGAGGATTTTCTCTTCTCTCCCTTCCCTCAACCCTTGGCCCTGAGTGTGGAACAGTTTCATGCCTTTGCATCTGGCTGTCTTTGCAGAGTATCCAATACCAGAAAGTGGCACAGACAGTTCCACAGTCTCCTGTTCCGCTGCGGAGAATAAGCTTAAGAGCCTGAAAATAACAGACTGCCCCGACGGCGATCAAGGCAGTGATGCCGCCTGCCCGGCCTCCGGCCAGCCTGAGGCTGGGTGGGGGCCCCTCAGGAAACCTCTGGGCAAGCGGAGGGACCCCAAGGCCCCTGAGGGCCTAGAGGCGCTGGGCAGGCCATTGCTCCATGGCGCGGTGCTGCTGTCTAGGAGAGGCTCATGCCCAGGCAAAGGGCCAGGACTCCCCGAGGTGAGCGCCAGGCTCCGCAGAAATGCCAGTTCCGCAGGAAATCTCCAAGGGCTCTGCAGTGGGGCTCCGGGGAGGAGAGAATCCAAGAAATACGAAGTATATTTACCTTCAGGAAAGAAGCGACCCAAAAGTCTTGAATTTACCATTCCTTCAGAGGCGAGAGAACTCTCAAATCCAGAAACTCTTCAGATTCAAGAGGAAATGAGAACTGCAAATCCAGACTCGGCAGCCACATGTAGGGGAGTGGCCACTGTGGATGTAGGGGCTACTGCCGCCCGGGAGAAAGGCTCCAGGAATCCAGAACATTCTGTGGTCCTGCAGGGAGGAACATTAAGGAACACGCTTTCCGACACATTATTGGCTAGAGAGGAGAAAGCTACAGTACCCTGGGAGAAGAATGGAACTGGGGGCCGGGAGACCCCTGAGACCATGGGGAAGATGGTGGGCACTGTGCTCCATGAGTCTTCAAATCCAGAGTCTTCAGGTGAGAAAAGACCCTGGAATCTAGAAGACCTAGCTTCCCTAGGAATGGTGGCTTGTAAAGGCATCCCCCCGCACCCCGCCCCAAATTTACTTTTATCCTCATTGTGTTTATATTCCTGGGATTCCTGGGTGCCTCCTAGGGTCCCTTTGCAGATCTCTGCAGGCTGCGGACCCTGAAAAAGTATACGCACATATTCACAAACATGGCATCGAGTTTCCGTTAGTTCTTGGGCACGCTGAAGTCCTTTAGAATCCAAGGGGTTTGTGGACCCCAGGTTGAGAATCTGGGAGGGATTGGGTAGAAATACCCACTTCTCACTGTAACCCCACAGTGTTATGTCATGGGGCCGAGGTTCTACCATTTGCCTTTCTCTGAGCAGGGAGGAAAGCCTACTGGCTAAATCCTATCTGTCTTTTACTGATGAGGAAGTCATTAGGATTGTTTAGTTGTGAATAATAACAGGAACCCCCAATAACGGTAGCTTCCACAAGATAGAAATTTGTTCCTCTTTCACATAAATGATAACAGAGTGTTCTGGACAGATCCACGGGCCAGGACCCCAGGCTCCTGATGTTTCTCTGCTCCACCAAGTTTTCTCTTGAGTTCAACATCTCAGACAGTGACATCCTCATTCCAGGCAGCAGGATGGGAGGACAAAGGCGGATAGTATCACTTAGGGAAAGTTCCTAGAAGCTACTCATGACACTTCCATTTACATCCCTTTGGCCATATTATAGTCAAATGGCTACACCTGACTGCAAGGGAGGCTGAGAAATGTAGGCTTTTTTTGAGGGGGGGGGACGGGGGAAGCAGCCATATGGACAGCAATTAATTCTATCATGAAGAAAGGCAGAAGAATAGTTACTGGGGTCACAAGAAGTCGCGTCTGCAGAGGTGCCATGAACTCCTGGGACACTGTGAGGGGAGGACATGGGAGGGGACTAATGGCTTGAGTGTGTTTCTATTTCTTCTTGTATTTCCTGTCATTTCTGCTTATGCTATTAAAGTCTGCCTGTTCATGATTGTTATGTCTTCAAGGTGAGTTCTACCCTTTTGCCTTATAAATCCCCTTCTCTGCTTCCATTTAATGCTTCCTAAGGTTGGATGTGAACAGTGGTCCATTTATTCCTGCATTCAACACACACTTTCCAAATGCTCACCATGTGCCAAGTATTCTGCTAGGGGCTGGGGATCCAGCTAGGAGGGAGACACATGAGTCACCAACCCTGGGAGCTCCCACTCAAGTTATGGGCAGCCTGGCGTGGTCTCTGGTGGTGAAGCAAACACTGGTCAGGATGTCTTGTTTTCCTTTATGTCACCTGCTAGATCCATGTCTGTGCAGAAGGAAGGCATAGGAGTTATAGCAAAGGGCCATGGGTCTTTCTTTAGGATAAATGCCCAAGAATTCTAAGACTAGGAATATCCTGAGGTCTAGCCCTTAGCTCTCAGTCCCAGTGGCGTGTTTGCTGCCTCACTGGATAGAAGGTGGGGGAGGATAAGCTCAGAAGTGGCCAGAGTCTGACCGAGAACTCATGCACCCCGAGCACGGGCTCTCTCTTGTTATGCTTTGCGGCGCCTCTTTGTAAACATCTTGGGTTTGCCGCTCAGGAGCTTTTTCCACTGCATGTTCCCAGGGAGCACACCAGGCAAGGCTTCCAGTCCTCTTTGCCATGCCCAGGAAGGAGACCCAGTTGGTGGTTGTGTGCAGGATTCCTGCAGCTGCCCGGGTGCTTCTGGGGAATCCAAGGCCTCAGGCAGCCACTCACCCCGCTGCACCCGGTGCCAGGCAAGGAAGAACTCTGGAAGCCTGAGCCCCCAGCCCCTGCCGCAGTGTAAGCGCCACATGCAGGTCCAGCTGCTCTTCTGTGAGGATCACGGGGAGCCCATCTGCCTCATCTGCAGGCTGAGTCAGGAGCACCGAGGCCACCAGGTGCGCCTCATCGAGGAGGTCGCACTGGAATACAAGGTAGGTATTCCCTGCCTGGGGGCCCTTCTCTGCCAGGCACTTGGACACACCGGGCCTTGCTTCATTTTCCCAACAACTCTAGGGTGTTGATGCATTAGCCAGGACTCTTGGTCTGTAAATGCAAAAACCAGAACACAAACCAGGCCGGCAATGATGGGATTTACAGGTTTATGTTGCTCAGAGGTCCAGGGGGAGCTACCTTCAAGTAGAGCTGAATCCTGGGGCTCACTGGGGGTTATTAGGTCTCTCTCTGCCCCCTCCCACACACCTCTTGGCTCTGCTTCCCTTGGTGCTGGATTCACTCTTCCTCTTCTGAGCACCCTGCCCCATGCCGTCGGCTGCAGCACACGTGGCTTTGCTCCCAGAAGCAGATTTTCCCTCTAGAATTGGCACCAGCTAAAGATGGTAGGAGCCAAGTTTAAGCTTCTCAACAAGTGCTCTTTTTCCAGGAGCAAATTCAGAAGCAGCTGGAGCATCTGCAAGAGCTGAGAAAACATGGGGAGGAGCAGAGATCCCAGGGAGATAAGAAGACGGCCTACTTCCTGGTAAGGCCCTAGTGTCCTGTGGCCAGTCCTTGCTGATTCACACCTACAGAAGGAGGGAGGGGACCTGGAGTGAGCAAGGGTCCCCAAGACTCCGCTGGTTCACAGGGCAGCAGGGATGGTCCCTGCTCTCAGGAAGAATGGGTAAAATTGGCAGCCAGGCGTGGGCTCGTCCCTGTAGTGGGAGACCCCCCCAGCAGGACCCTGTCTTGCTTTCTCATACTCCCACAGAATGGTTTAGAGCAGCCAACGCGGCTGTCACTGAAAGACAGGATGGAGGAAAAGGAGGAAGAAACTTTTTAACCTTATACATTCCTCTGTATTGTTTTTATAATTGTTGCTGTCTGGTTTGTTTTTGTTTTTTACAAAAACCACATTGATTTTTTAAATTCAAATGATTAAAATAGACATTTTGACCATTTAAAACATTTTCTTTAAAACCACGGTTTTACAACACCGCAGATTTCAGTAAGTACAACTCGGCGACTACCCTTCTGTCAGGCTGGTGTCCAGCCTCTTGGACGTGTAAAGTGCTTCCATTTTTTCTGGAAGTGGCGGCGCCCACCCCCACAGAGCCTGGATTTGTCTAATGCATTTCCATTGGTTGGACCCTGTCTTCCTCTCTGGGTTCCAAACTTTTGACAAGTCCAGTCTGTACCCACCAGGCCTCCCTGGGTAACAGGTGCAGATAAGAAAGGGAAGAGTGGCAGGACTTGCCCAGGTGTCTGACTTTGGGGACACTTCTGCACTGTAGCAACATGAAACCCCCTTCCTATAAAGCCAGGTGGCTGGGAGCATGTGGATGGAGCAGAGGTCAGGGATGTCTCCAAGGAGGGGGAAGCAGGAGCCTAGGCTGCTGAGGGAATCCCAGGGAGGTGAGAGAGTCCAGTCTTCCGTTCAGACACTCACAACAGCATGGGGTCCTCCTCCCTTCCCCACCTTCTCCTCCTTTTTTCCACAGACAAAAAAAAAAAATGTTTGCTTGGTGCAGTGTCTGATGCCTATAATCCCAGCACTTTAAGAGGCTGAGGTAGGAGGATCACTTGAGGCCAGGAGTTTGAGACCAGCCTGGGCAACATAGCAAGACCCTATCTCTGCAAAAAAATTTGTTAAAAAATTAGCCAGCATGGTCATAGGTGCCTGCAGTCCGCCCACTCGGGAGGCTGAGGCAGGAGGATCGCTTGAGCCCAGGAGTTTGAGGTTCCAGTGAGCTAGAATGATGCCACTGCACTCCAGCCTGGGCAAGGGAGTGAGGACCTAAAAAAAAAAACCTTTGTTTTTAACTATAGGGGAGGGGGAAGGAAAGCTCTTCTTTGCAGAAGAATACCAGCTAATAGAAATATAGAATGATTGAATTCAAAATTTTCCATTATACGAACCCCACTGGAATGATTGACACAGGCAGGAATCATTACAGAAGCTAAAGTTTAGAGGAAGATCATTAGAGAACAGGATATTTATACACTCCCCAAGTTACTTAATAATTATGAGGAAATCATGTATGTTGACATGGAGAGATCTGGTAGGCCCCTCTTTCACCCAGTGATAATCCAGATATCACAATAATGACGATGGATCAACTGGACATTCCTTGCCTCCAGATGGGATGTGCTAGGAATAGCACACATCATCAACTATGTAGTTTTCTTGCCTAAAATGTTTAGCCTGAATTTAATTACGAGCAAAATTATCAATTTTAGAATTTAGGCCATTGAACAAGGCAGCTGACCTGTCCTCTTTAAAAAAAAAAACAAAAAACAAAAAACACTGACAATAACAATACCAAAAGATGAAGAGACATTTTCGGTTCAAGAGAACTAAAGAGTTGGTCCTGTGCTTTCGTACCAAAAATGACAAGACTCTTAAGCCAGTCTTTCTGGATCTGAAGGGCCCACTCCCCGCTTGGAGGAGGGAAGAGGTGCTCTTGGACTGTCACACCTCTCTGGAGAGCTCTTGGTTGACCACTGTGCAATGGGAGCAGACACCACGTTCACCTGCGTTCAGGTGAACTGATCGCCCCATTCAGAACCGTCACTGAGGACCTGCTGCCTTCCAGCACTTTGCAGGTGCAGAGAAGTTCCATCCTGGAGCAGTTTGGTGGCCACAGCCTCATCCACTTATGACCCCAGGCATGTGCCACCCTCACACTGGCTTTCAAGGAAGGGAGAAGGTGACACCAGGTGTCTTAGTTTCCTGTGACCGTCCTAACAAAGTACCACAGACTGTGTGGCTTAAACGACAGACCTTAATTGTCTTACGGGTCTGGAGGCTGGAAGTCTGAGTTCGACCTTGGCTGGCAGGGTTGGATCCTTCTGAGGGCAGGAGGGAAGGGTCCATCCGTGCCTCTCTCCTCGGCTTACAGGTGGCCATCTTGTCTGTGTGTCTTTGCATCATGTCCTCTCTGTGTGTCTCTGTGTCCAAATTTCCTCATTTTATGTGGACATCAGTCATCTCCAATGTGACTTCATCTTAACTGATTACATCTGCAAGGACTCTGTCTCCAAATAAGATCACAGTCTGAAGTTCTGGGGAGGTTGGAACCTTAACACATGAATTTTGGAGGGGACACAGTTGATCCTGTAACACCAGGTTTAAGGGCATTTTCCAAGAGCTAGCCCCTGGCCACCCTCAGTCTGTTCTGGAAGAGTCTGGACATTATTGCTCCCTGCTCTGGAATCCAGACCTCCAAGAGGCAGAGGAGGCCTGCCTCTTATCCACCGCCAGGAGGTGGGCTTCTGGGGGATCCCGGACACACATGTCCACCCCACAGCACAGACACCTACACCTCCCTGTCCCCTGCTCCCCAGAAACAAATTGAAATCCAGAAGCAGCGGGCACGGAGCCAGGTGGAGCAGCTCTGCAAGTTTCTGGAGCAGCAAGAGAAGGTCTTTGTGGCCTGGCTGGAGGAGCTGGGCCAGACCATTGGCCAGGTCAGGGAGGCATATGGCACCCGCGTGTCCCAGGACATCGCCCTGCTTGACTCACTGATCGGGGAGCTGGAGGCCAAGCAGCGCCAGTCGGAATGGGAGCTTCTGCAGGTGAGCGCGTCCCATCAGGGCCTCAGGCTGCCTCAGGCTCCCGGCTCTGCCCAAACCAGTGGGTGACGCCCTTGAGGCCTGGGGTGGGAATTGGTCGCAGTGACCCTCAATGTGCCCAGACCCCTTTGAGGTGGTCTCCCAGGAGCTCAGGGTGGCCCAGCATCTGGGAGATCCCTGGCATCACCCAGAGAGGTCAGCAGGGCTTGAGGGCAGTTCCATCACAGGCCCTGGCTGGCCAGGGTTCCACCCAGGGTGATTAGAATTAGAATCAAGGAGAAGTGCTCCAGTTTTGCTGACACCTGGGGCTGGGAGCCCCAGGAAGGGCAGGGAGCAGCTGGAAGCCCAGGAGTCAGCACAGCCTCTAGGAAACTGGTAATAGAGGCCTCCCTCTTTTCTCTCCTAGGACATCGGAGCCACCTTGCACAGGTACAGAGAGGCCCCGTGGTGTACCCTTGGGTGTCCTGCAGGAAGCGTTTGAGGGAGACAGTCCTAGCAGGGACCTGTCAGGGAGGTGCTTCCAACCCCTAGGTCTGTGACTCCACACCCCTTCCATTTCCTGCAGCTTCCTGAGGCCGTTCTGGGTTTGCGCAGGGAGAGTGGGAGCCCGGTCAGGAGGGAGGCTGGCTGGGTGGGCTGCAGATGAGAAAGAATGAATTCTGCCCACCCTGCCAACTAGATAGAGACTTCCTAAGAAAACTCCCAAGTGGATTGTGTCCCATGCAATTTGCCTTAGGAAAATTGCCCCTGCAGAACTTTTGGTGGCCTCGGGGAAGGAAGCACGTCCAGGAGTCTGGGAAGCTGGGCCCAGCAGGCAGGAGAGGGAGAGCAGGAAGGGGCCGAGGTTTGGAAGCACCTGGGAGCTTTACAAAACCCTGATGTCCTTTTGTGTCCGGCTCTTTTCACTTAACATGTTTTCAAGGTTGATCCAGTAGTAGCCGGTATCAGAATTCCATTCCTTTCTGTGGCAGAATGATAGCCCGTTGTATGCATATACTACATTTTGTTTATACATCTGTGGACATTTGGATCGTTTCTGCCTTTTGGCTATGTGAATAATGCTGCTATGAACATGCGTGTACAAATATCTGCTTGAGGTCCCATTATTTTGGGCATATAATTCCAGAAGTGGAATTCCGGGATCATGTGGTAATTCTGTTTAATTTTTTGAGGAACCTTCATACTGTTTCCCACAGCGCCTGCCTCATTTCACATCCCCACCAGCAATGCACGAAGGTTCCAATTTCTCCACGTTTTTGTCGACACTTGTTATTTTCTGTTGTTTTTATCATCGTCATCCTAATGGGTGTGAAGTGGTATTTTATTGGCATTTTTTCTCATTTATTATCATTTCTATTTCAATAGAAAGAAAAAGACTTGGAGAGTATAATTAATTTGACATAGATAATTCCGTTAGATAATATCAATACCATTTTAAGGCCATTATTAAAACTCATTGTTGTGTTGGTATCAGTGTTTTTTAAAGCTCCCCAGTAGGTGCCAATCTGTGGCCAAAGTTGAGGACTAGTGTTTGTTCAGAACTTCAGGGAGGACTTTTCTTTGCATAGTCCTGGCTGGGCTGGGTGTGCCTTGTAGAAACTGCTCGTCACTTCCAGCTCACGGGCACTGGGGGCACTGGGGCCACCCCCTTGCTCCAGCCCTCTCTGCTCAACAGTCTCTTGTCTCTAGGGCCAAGACGGTGCCTATCCCTGAGCTGTGGGCCACTCCTCCAGAGATGAAAGAAAAAATGCACCTGTTCTACAAGAAATCAGAGTTTGTGGAGAAGAGCATGAGGCATTTCTTGGGTAGGTGGGCTTGGAGGAAGGTGGGAGGTGCCTGCTCACCTCCTCCCTGAGATCTGTGCAGCCCAGAGGCCCCGGCTTCCCCTCCTCATCTCCACGGCCTTTCTGACCTGCCTTCAGCCTCTCCCTGATCTGTCCCTAGCAAAGGGAACTTACTTGAGCTTCTCTCTGCTCCTTTTCCCCCCTTTTTAGAAACACTTCGTTCTGAAATGGAAACATTCAATGGTGAGTAGGGTGTTGGTAGTGGGAGCAGCCCAGGGGTTACTGGGATGTTCCCTTTCGCTGTTGATTTCGGGGCACTATTTAGAAAACACCTGTAACAAGGGCAGGAGAAAAGCCACGACAGGCTCCGCAGGCTTGGTGCCTGATTTGTTGGCTGAGTTAACTCATTAGACCATGGAGTCTCCAGGGCAGACCTGGGGGCCTGGGAGGAACAGGGCTGTACCCAAGCACAGGATGTAGGCACTGAGCAGGGGGATCCTTGTCTTCTCTTGTTGTGGGGACAGTGTAATTTAGCCCCTCCAAATGTGAATGCTCAGGACGTTTTTACTCCTTATTTTTCTCTGTAGTTCCAGAACTGATTCGTGCTCAGGTTCATGCTGGTAAGTGCCCAGATCAAGGCAAGTGGCCTTGGCCTGCTGGGTCCCTGTGCTGTCTCCCACCATGTTCCAGAAGAGCAGCCCGGTCCTTGTTTCCTGGAGGTGGGGAAAACTCTTAGGGAACGTTGCCCATGGAACCCCAGCTATGTATTCTGATTCTCTCTGCAGTTAATGTGATTCTGGATGCAGAAACCGCCCACCCCAAACTCATCTTCTCTGATGATCTGAAGAGCGTAAGACTTGGAAACAAGTGGGAGTGGTTGTCTGATGCCCCAGAAAGATTCGATAACTGCATCATTGCCCTGGGCTCTCTGAGCTTCCTTTCCGGCTGCTATTACTGGGAGGTGGAGGTCGGAGACAAGACGGCATGGGTCCTGGGAGTCTGCAAGTCATCCCTGAGCAGGAAGGGGAGCATAACTCTGACTCCGGAGAATGGCTACTGGGTGGTGATGATGATGAAGCGAAATGAGTACCAGGCGTCCACTTGTCCCCCAATCCGTCTGCTAATGAAGGAGCCGCCCAGGCGTGTGGGCATCTTCCTGGACTTCAAGGCTAGAGAAATTTCCTTTTACAATGTCACTGCCCGATCCCACATCTACACATTCACCAGTGTCTCTTCCTCTACGCCCCTTCAGCCTATTTTCAGCCCTGGGATGCCTGATGGAGGAAAGAACATGGGTCCTCTTACCATCTGTCCAGTGAATGACGAGGGGCCTCACTGAATGTCCAACACTTCATCTCTCTTCTGGCTCCCGGCTTCGTACCTTGCATTCACACACTCAACAGTCATTAGGGAACATCTTCTGGGTGCCAACTGCTATAAGAAATGTAATAAATGACAAAATGGTTACTGTGCCCAAGAGCTTACCCACTCATAGCAGAGGTAGGCTAGGTACAAACATATTGTTAAATTAAGGGTGGAGACAACACAGGCACTGATGACATGCCGTGGATTTCAGCAGAGGAAGTATGTGGCTGTTGCATAATAAATCACTGTAGGAAGTAGCACTCTCAGATGCTCCTGAGGGAGAAGATTCTGCCCCTGGCAAGGATGTGTCCCCTTATTCTATCTGCCCCTGTCTTGAGGACCCAGGAAACCTAGACAAAACACAAGCAGACTGGATTTTTATAGAAGTATTTGTGTGCCTGGATTAATGAACTATGATTCCTAAGAATATTGACTGGGCTTCATGAATAAACCAATTAGAAAATTTGGTCATAATTGCATTTGTCACTCAGTTGATCACTGTGGAATCCCATTGTCCTACTGAATGCGGTGAAAGAGATGGGGCTGCTATAGTGGAAGAGCATTTGACACATATTCCAGGTGTCAGATTGTTCTGCCTTGGTTTGTAGGGGAAAATCTGTGGGGCTATGGAATATTAGGTTGAAGATTAAACTTCAGACTTCTATCCCAACTCCTCTTTCTATCTTCACTACTAGAGTCTAGATTAGACAATATCAATAATCAGGCTGGGCGCGGTAGCTCACATCTGTAATCCCAGCACATTGGGAGGCCAAGGCAGGAGGATCACTTGAGACCAGGAGTTTGACACTAGCCTAGGCAACACAGTAAGCCCTGTCTCTACAAAAAATTTTTAAGAATTAGCCAGGCATGGTGATATGTGCCTATAGTCCCAGCTACTCTAAAGGCTGAGGTGGGAGGATGGCTTGAGCCCAAGAGTTCAAGGTTACAGTAACATGATCAGGCCACTGCACTCCAGCCTGGGTGACAGAGAGACCCTGTCTCTAAAAAAAAATAAAAAGAAAGAAACCCCCCAAATACCTGGGTTTTTTTCAATTATAAAAGTAACTCTCATTATTTGAAAACTTACAGATTTATAAAACACAAAAAGTGAAAAATTCCCTCTAATACTACTCCTTACAGATAAGCATTAACCCTTGTTGTATATTCCTCCAGTTAAAAAAAAACTATTTTAAAAATGACATTATACACATTGTTTTTTAACTTGCCTTTTCACTTAATTTATCTGTTTTTAATGGTTGCATTGGATTCCACTGTATAAACATATCATCATTTAACCAAGTTTTTGACATTTCAAACAAAGCTATCTGCGTAGTTTTCTTTAAGTTCTGAGAATTGAATGTTACAAAGTGTATGAACATTTTACTTTTTAAAATAGTGCCATCTTGCCCTCTTAAATAGTTGTATTAATTTGCTTTCAGAACACTGAATATTACTTTTGTAATTCTTGTTTTATTAATATTATTTTAAATTGCACTTCTTTAATTGTATGTGACAATGACTATCTTTGCATGTTAAAAGGCATTTGCAGAGCTATACATTGTTTATACTCTTAGATTAAGGTCTGATATTTCAAATTTATTTATGACATCCATTTTACTGATCAGTTTTTAAAAACAGGATGCCAACTTTTTAAAAAAAAATCTTCATCATTCATTTTTTCATATTAAGCCTTTATTATTTTTAGTTATAAAATTGAAGTGACATAACCCCAAAAATGATTACTCTCCTCCTTGACTCCCCTCTATTTCCATCCCCCACTCAAGAGTAACCATTTTAATCGTCTAGTGTGTATCCCTCAATACAAACATACAAGGGAGTTTCTGTTTGCTCCAAAAATATAATTATGCATTATATACATAACTCTGAAATTGCTTTTTTCATTTAATATTTTATGGCCATCTGTCCAGGTCTACATATAGTTTTAATCCATTCTTCTTCATTGCTATGTAATTTCCAGAGCGTCAATGTGCCAATTTATTCAATTATTTCCTTACTGATGTGATGAACATGCATGTTGTTTCCAGTTTTTGTCACTACAAAGAATTCTACAAGAAATTTCTAGAGTTCAGATTCACAGATGAGATTGTGAAGGTAAAAGAATACATACCTGTACTTTTAATTTTAATTTATATTACAAAATAACTGCACACACCACACTACCAGCAAAGGGAGTGCCTATTACTCCACTTTCTTCATTGCTCAATAGGTGAAAAATGTCCCCTTTTAAAGTGGTAATTTTGACTAGTGGTTAAGCATCTTTTCAAATGTTAATGACCAATTAGTTTTCCTCCTCAGTCGAGCAGTTGCCTTTGTCTTTTGTCAGTTGGCAGGGGCTCATTTCGTGCTGGGAATGTTTAATTCCTTATGTGGCTTATCTTTTCCAACTATTTTCCAGTCTCTTACTTGTGTCACTTTGTTAATAATGTTTTAGAAGAAGTTTTTAAAAATTATAACCTCACAGGTTTATATTTCACTTTAAGGCATCTCAGTTTTGTTTTGCCTTGACCTTAAACTTAATGTTCTCTTTAGTGTTCTTTTACTGTTTATTACACTCCATTTTTGTAAGCGGTATAAAAGGACGGGAGGGGTCTTACTTTTTTCCCAGAAGAGTAGACAATTTTTGGTAGCACCATCGATTTCACTTTAAGTTGAAATGATATCCTTTCATCTAGGTCCACTCAGGTCAGTTTTGGGACATACTATTTTTTCTACTGTTTTGTTTACTCATAGTTCAAGTCGTACTTTGATTAAAGGAGGCTTTTTAGCAAATTTTGATGTCGGAAAAGGCTAGTATTCTTATTTTTCAACAATTTTTTGGTGCCACACAGTTTTCATATTCCTTTCTTTTTAATATATTTTAAACTCTAGTTAAGTGAGTCAGCGATAATTAGCGTTAAGAGAAAGCATTCATTTATATTTTTACTTTTGTCATCTTTCTGGAAGCTGTTGCCTAGAGGGATAAGACCATCCCTGCCCAACCCTGATAAATGCCTCACCGGGGAATTAACTGAGTATGGAAACAACGCAGGGACTAAAAAGACGCTGTTCAGCCGCCGTGGGAGGCTGAAATTGAGAAAGGAAACAGAGACAGATGGTCTGAGAAGAACGACTAGGATCTCTTAAAACAATAGATGGCCAGTCCAGACAGCAGTGTGTTAAGTTGTCAATCTGGGGCGAGGGAAGGAGCCCCCCTCACCTCTGACCTACTGGACTTCCTGCACAAAGGAAGGGTAGGGAGAGTTCCAGGGCATGGCGGAGTGCCATGCTGACCACACTCCTGCCCCCTCCAAAGTCCTTTGACCGGCAGGATGCTGCGGCGGAAACGGCGGCGGCCTTGCGCAGACTTTCCGGTCAGAGAGACAGTCGGCTTCCGGTCAAGCCTGGCCCTGCCCCGCCCCAATCGCCGAGCCTGACGGTTTCCCATTGGCTGTTTGGAGCTGAACTACATTTCCCGCAGGCCGTGGAGTTAGGGTGCCCGCACTTGGAGGGGTGCCAGTCCGTCATGGAGGACTGGAGCCAGCGTACTGCTTTCTGTTTCCCAGGCAGAGCCACAGAGAGAGCACGGCTGCCGCCGGCCTGGCCTCCCTCCGCTCCTGAGAGCTCCGCCGGCCGGCTACGAGTCTCGCTCTCCCAAGCGGAGACTGGTCGCTCTGAGCAGGGAGACCAGGCTTGCGCACCGGAAACAAGGCACCGGTCGTGACGCCACGGCTGCGGAGGCACCCGGCCTCCCAGAAGGCACCACGTCAGGGTCGTCCTCCTCAACTAGCGGCGGCGCGCACGAATAGTTGCCGGCGGTCCGTGAGCACACTCCGAAGGGTGAGGGAGGGCTTGGCCTCTGGCATCTAGCTTTCCGGTCTCTCCCGGAGCCTGGGCATGTGAGCCGTCCCAGCGAAGGCTCAGGGGCGGCAGAAGCCCGGAGAGGTGAGGGGCTTCGTGAGGGTGGGAACGTCGCTGAGGCGGTCTCCGGGGACAGCGGAGCGTGGTTCGTTACTGGGGGAGCAAGGCCAGGTAGGTAGTCTGCCGCGTGCCCCGGTTAGTGCTACCGGCTGGGCTTTGTGATAAAGGTGCCCCTTGGCCTAGGGGAGAGGCCCTAGAGTGGGCCTGGCCCGGTGGGCCCTAGTGGGATGTCCCCTGCCGTTCTCAACAGCGCTTTGACGGCGGACAGGAATCAGATCACGTGTGGACACCTCATGCGGCCTTGTGTTTGCTCCCTTGGAGAGTCGTCAGCCGCCCCCCGAAGGGCACCTGAGAGAGTTCTGGTCTGAGGGGTGCAATAGGGTCAGATTCAATGACCAACCGGCTTCTAAGCAGATGTCCTCAGAATTGGACCCCAGATTTTTGTTTTCACTCATTGCTCTTTCTACAAGCATAAGTTAAACTCCTCTACCAAGTGGAGTTTGCACTTCTTATTCCCCAGGAGGCTGGCCCTCGATCTTCTGTCTGCAGCTTTGCTTCCTTCTGTTGGCTCTTGAGGTTTGGACAGCCTTTGGTTTTCATTCTCAAGGTCTTTCTTTCAGCCCTTCTAAGAGTATCCTGTTCAGGGACCTTCTGTTTCAGTTGTCATTTCTCTACTCCAGCTGTCTTTCCCTGCTCATTTAGATCTCATGTGGTCTCACTACTACCCAAGCCACATATTGGAGTGTAGTCATGCCCTGCTTGGTCTTGGGGGTAATGTATGGTTTCTCTGTTTGCAGCTTGGTTATCTGGCAGATTTCCTTCAGTAAGAAGTGGCTCTGGAAGCCCCCAGAAACCAGTGTGGTCTGTGGTTGCAAGGCATGATGACTGCAAAAGTGGTTCCTATGCCTCCAAAGCCAAAGCAGTCCTTTATACTGAGAGTTCCACCAGATTCTAAGCTGGGCCAGGACCTACTTCGAGATGCCACTAGTGGGCCCAAGACCATCCACCAGCTAGTTCTGGAGCACTTCCTTACCTTCTTACCTAAGCCAAGCCTGGCCCAGCCCAGTCAGAAAGTCAAGGAGACTTTGGTTATTATGAAGGATGTGAGCTCAAGCCTTCAGAACACAGGTGAGAAGCACGTGCTTGTTTCGTTAGAAGAGAAAGGGGTGGAACTGGGGCTGAGATGAGCTTCCATGTTAATAATTAATTCAATTAGGATGGTGTTTATTGAGAAAGTAGTTAATTTAATAAGTTGACATTCTGGAAAGAGGAAGTACTTTCTTCTCAAGCCAGAGCTTGAGTGATACACTGGATATGTGTAAGGCCATAGAATAAACAGTGTGTGTCTTTCTGTAGTTGTCAATTTTACCCAAACATTCTGAGGGAAATATCGTTTTAGGATAAAGAAATCAGATGAATGATGAAGTTGACTTCAGTTTGTCAGATTTTAGAAATTTTGTACTTGCTCTGGGCATCTTCACTCCTTGCCTTCCTCCAAGCTCCCCTTCAGGAGCACTTTGTGGGAAATTTTGAAAGGTTCTTTGGGGACTCCTCCTTTTTGTAATGAGGAGACCCCATATAAGTTTGAGATCCTGGGATTTATAGCTTGAACTGTGTCAGAGCTCACAGGAGCAGAAAGGACCATGAGTTGTCTGCCAAAAGAGTCAGGACAGCCCAGCCTCAAGGTGTGGGTAGAGTCTCCGTATTAGAGTCACGGAGTTTTTCACCAACTACAGCTTCGTCTCTCCCCAGTGCATCCTCGTCCTTTAGTGAAGCTTCTGCCCAGAGAAGGAGTCCAGCAGCAACAGGAGACACCTTCTCTGTGTTTGAAAGCTGACCCTGAGGTGGGTGGAGTCCTATTCACTGAATGCATCACCTTCCCTGGTTGGCCAATTCATGTATAAAAACACAATCTCAGGAGTCGGCCTCCTTGGGCATTTTTCTTCTGCTTTTCCTCTGGCTCCTCTCAGCCTGGCTGTTCTGTCTGCACTGCACCTGTGTAGGATTTATAAATCCCTTTCGCCATACTTTCCCATAATCTTTGTGTGTCAGTCTTTCTTACCAACAGGGCTGTCAAGGAACCTCAGTTACTGAGAGGAAAGGGACCTCTTGCTGTTTCAGGAGCTGGTGGTCTTTGAGGATTTGAACATATTTCACTCCCAAGAAGAATGTGTGAGCCTGGATCCTGCTCAACAACCTACCTCCGAGAAGGCAGACAGTGATGTCGGGGAGATGACGTTACTGGGTAAGAAATCAGGTCCTTTGTTGTTCAGGTTGTATGCCACAGGAAAAGTGTGTCCTTCGTTTCCTGAGCTTTTGAGGCACTATTCACACCTACTAAGCATACATGCATACACATGTTTTATTTTTGTTTTATCCCATGTGGCAGAGCCTAGCCACAGAGCTCCAGCTGTAGGTGCTCATTTCCCTTATATCTTGGGGGAGGCGAGGGGAAAGGGGACTTCTCTTGATAAGCAAGACCTACAACTTACAAACAGAAAATGTAGGCAAACTGTTCTGAACCCACTTTCTGGATCCTGTTCTCACAACAGGTATATTTTGAATTAGTGTTTTCTTTGGACACAAGAATAACTCTTTTAAGTACCTCCCCACTCTTTTTGACGTTTTATAGATGTGAAACCTAGTAGTATAAGTGAAAATATGTCCCACTATGATGAAAGTAATGTCTAACACTTAACAAGCCCTTATGTGCTATTACTTCCTATGCACTAACCCAAGTACACTCCATTCGTTTATTATCCAACATAGTTCTCACAATACTATTGTGGGATATAGGAATCACTACTATTTTACAAGTGACAGAACTGAGGCACAGAGGGGTTAAGAAATGTGCTAAAGGTCACACAGCTGTAAGTAGAGGAGCAGGGATTTGGACTCACGGAATCTAACATCAGAATTTGTAGTCATGGCCCAGAACTATGCTGCCTCCTGGAGCATTCCTCATGATTTTGTATGTGAATTCCCTATGTGGTTGATGAGCGGGGCATTCTTTATTTGTTCTCATTTCCCAATAATGGTAGACAAGTGTCCCCAGTGCTAAATATGAACTGATCTGGCAGCAGTCTCTCTATAATCTGCCTAAACAAGCTTCACCTTTTCTCTAAAAGTGTGCTGCTACCCTAGAGGTAGATGCCCTCACAAATGTCTTTACTGAGTACCTAATACTTTTTCCTTTACCTTCAGTGCTGTTTGCTTCCAAGGCTGAAGTTGAGCAGAAAGTAGGTTTTCGGAGTTGCCTGGGGTGACAAAAATCCGTTATGAGTATTCAGCTCTTAGCTATATTATACTGTATGGTCAGGGGTAGTGGTACGTAATGAGCTTAGTTAATTTCTCACAGATTGTTTTATGTAGTGTTATTTTAGAGAAAACTATAAGATCAGATATATTACACTAAATTTTTCCTGTGTCTTGGGCAAAGCTAGCGTTTATTTTGGGTGACTCGTTGGTGGGTATGTTGCCAGCTCAAGGAACACTTTGGCCATCTACTTTGGGGCCCTGAGACCCAATCCTTACCCTCCACTCCCGGCTTCCTCCACTCATACCCTTGAAGCTGATGGCTTAAGCTTAGAGTCATTTACCAGCATTTCAAAAATGCTACTTATTTCTTCATCAGGCAGTGTTGGGTTCTAGAATTGATACTCATCAAGTTATAAAGATACATACTGCTCCATTCCTTCCTTTCATGACCTTCAAATCTGGTTTGTTGTAAGACAAGTCATTCACATAAAAAGATAAGCAAGGTGAAATTTTTTTTATAAGTATGAAGAGCTATCACAAGATTGAGGCAGAGTTTGGATCCAGGAGCAAAGTTTGGAAGAAGGTGGATTTGATTTTAGATGAGATTGAATCCATGATGGGAAATAAAATGAAATTATCCTCTGGATATTTGGAAATTGGGAACTAGAGCTCAGATGTAAAGATGTAGAGATTTGGGAGTCATCAGCTTTCCAGGTGATCATTGAAATAGTAACATCAGTTTTTGTAAAGGGAAAAGTATAAGGGATTGAACATAGTGGAGACAAGAATCAAAAAGGAGTCCTTAACGTAGGAGAACAGAGAATATGTGTCTCAGTCCAAGTGAACCATGTAAAAATAAATAGGGTTAGCATAGATTTTGCTTTAGTAAACAAACATTGCCAGTAGTTTACTGGAATGTTGAACATGTTTACATTGAACCACACATGTAATGAAAGTCTCAGTTGCTATCAATATTGTTCAATACATGGTACTGTGAGACTTTACATTACAGCTGTATAGAAAATTTGAAGTGACAGCATGATTAAAATTTATACTTCCCTTATGAGTAATGATGTTGAGTAACTTTCTACAAAACTTTCTACAAGTTTATTTTTCATTAGCCATTGCATATCTTGTTTTGGGGGAAGTGCTTTTTCAAATTGTATGTGTGTGGCGGTGGGGGGCAGATTAAGCAGATTCTCAGTAAGATAGTTTTTATGTCTGTCCTCTGCTGTGATAGGAGAATACACCTTTACAAGATTGATGAAAATTGACTAAATTCTATGTAACAAAGAAAGACTCAATAGATTCCATAGAGTAAAATAATACAATAGTATCACAATACAGTACAATTGGAAATTAATAATGAAATCAGAAAATAAAAGTTCCTTCTACCTGGAAATTTTAAAACTTAAGCAACCTTAGGTCAAAGGGGGGCAAATAAAATTGTGTAATTTTTCTAGAAAACACTATATGGTCATCCCTCCATATCCACAGGTTCCATAACCAACAATGGATTGAAAATATTAAAAAAAAAAATGGATGGTTGCATCTTTACTGAACATGTACAGACTTTTTTTTGTCATTCTCTAAACAATGCAGTATAACAGTATTTATATGGCATTTGCATTGTATTAGATACTATAAGTAATCTAGAGATAATTTAAAGTATATGGTAGGTTGTGTGCAGGTTATATGCAGATATTACATCATTTTACATGAGAGATTTGAGCATCCGTTGATTTTGGTATCTGAGGGAGGTCCTGGAACCGGTCCTATATGGATTCCGAGCACAACTATTTATCAGAATCTATGGTATAACCTAAAGTTGTACTCTGAAGAAAATTCAGGCCTGTAAAAACATATGTATTAATGTAGAAAAATGAAAATAATTAAGCCTTTAATTCAAAGTTAGAAAACCAACAGGATAAATTAAAACAGAATGAAGGTATTAAATATAAAATTAGAAATTAATAAGTTAAAAATAGAAAAAAGCTAATAAAAATTTAAACGAACATAGATAAACTAATTTCCATAGAGGAAGTTGAAATTGTTAAAAAACTAGCCACCTATGCAAGAAGCAGGACCAGACTCAAACAGTTGCACAGGAAGTTCTTCTAAACCTTGAAGAATTAGACAGTTCAGGCTGGGTGTGGTGGCTCATGCCTATAACCCCAGCACTTCGGGAGGCTGCGGCGGGAGGATCATTTGAGCCCAGGAGTTTGAGGCTGCAGTGAACTATAGTCGGGCCATTACACTCCAGCCAGGGTGCTAGAGCGAGACTGTATCTCTTAAATAAACAAACAAACAGGCCGGGCGCGGTGGCTCACGCCTGTAATCCTAGCACTCTGGGAGGCCAAGGCGGGCGGATTGTTTGAGCTCAGGAGTTCGAGACCAGCCTGAGCAAGAGCGAGACCCCGTCTCTACTAAAAATAGAAAGAAAATTAATTGGACAACTAAAAATATATAGAAAAAATTAGCCGGGCATGGCGGCGCATACCTGTAGTCCCAGCTACTCGGGAGGCTGAGGCAAGAGGATCACTTGAGCCCAAGAGTTTGAGGTTGCTGTGAGCTAGGCCGACGCCACGGCACTCACTCTAGCCCGGGCAAAAAGAGTGAGACTCTGTCTCAAAAAAAACAAACAAACAAACAGACAAACAAATAAATAAATAACAATTCAAATGCTATGAAAACTTAGTATAGAAAAAGAAGGAAAATTTCCAAATTCTTTTTATGAAATTACTGTAATAAGAATACCAAAACCTGATAAAAATTACCATGACCAAATAAAATTTATTCTAGTGGTGCAAAAATAACTTACTAACTTAGCTTGGACTGTTGAGAATAGAGAAAATAGCAGAAAACTATTAATTATATCTTATAATGAAAAGGAGAAAAATCCTATCATTATTTGCATAGTTACTGAAAAGGTGTTTGACAAAATTCAAACCTCTTCTCCGTAAAAACATTTAACAAAATAGTAATTAATGGATACTTCCTTAATAGGGTACTTAGCCTTTCAGCCAGCATTAAAAGTGTTTCTTTAATGGGAAGCACTGGGTGGCATTCCCACTAAAATTAGGAATACAACGATGAAGCCCGCTGTTACTACTACTGTTCAGTACTATGTTTCAGGTATTAGCCAGTGCAGTTAAATGATAAATTAAATGTATAAGGATTTGAGAGAAAGGTAGAACTGCCCCTATTACATATGCTATAATTGTGTAGCTGGAAAACCCTGGAGAAGTCTGAAAACTTACAAATAATAAGAGTATTCAGTAAGGCGATGGGATTTCATAAACACTTCTAAAGGACTCAAAAGTAGATTTGAATGAATGCAAAGAAATACCATGTTCTTGGCTAGGAAGACTTAACATCATAAAAAGGAGTCATGTGTCCCCAAGTGTATTTATGAATTTGATGCAGTTCCTTTAACAATACTAATAGGATTTTTCCCCTGAAACTAGACAACTAATTTCAAATTCTGTTGGAAAAACAAATACAAACAATTAACCAGGAAAACTGGAAAGGAAGAGCATTGTGGGCAGGAGAGGACCTCACCCTGCCAGGTCTGCAAGCAGCCCAGAAAGCCTCCTTAATTACAACAGCATGAGAACAGATCAGCCGGTGGGATGGAATAAAAAGTCCACAAATAGCCTCAAACACACATGAGGATTTAGTATGTGATAATGTTGGCATCTTAAGTCAGCAAGGTAAAGAGGAACTTTTTGATAAAAGGTGTTGGGACAATTGAGTAGCCATTTGGTGAATTGGTACTTTGTATACCAAGAAGAACTCCAAATGGATCAGAGATTTTAAAATGTTTAAAACAAACAAACACGAGACCAGCCTGAGCAAGAGCGAGACCCCGTCTCTACTAAAAATAGAAAGAAATTAATCGGACAACTAAAAATATATAGAAAAAATTAGCCGGGCATGGTGGCGCATGCCTGTAGTCCCAGCTACTCGGGAGGCTGAGGCAGAAGGATTGCTTGAGCCCAGGAGTTTGAGGTTGCTGTGAGCTAGGCTGACGCCACGGCACTCTAGCCCGGGCAACAGAGTGAGACTCTGTCTCAAAAAACAAACAAACAAACAAACAAACATAAAAGCACAATTAGAAAATTAGGTGAATTCCTTTATAACCTTGGGATAGGAAGGGTTTTGTAATTAAGACTCAAAAGCCCAGAAGCCTTGAAAGAAAAGATTGATGATAGATTAAAATACATAAAAATTAAAAACTTACACATGCCAAAATAAGAAATTTATAAGTAAATAAATACAATAAATTGGGGGACATGTTTGCAACTCAGGCAGAAGCCTAATCTTCCTAATTTATAAACATCTCTTAGAAATAGGGAAAAGAAGGACCACAATAAATTCACTAAGACAAATTACCTTTAAACATGTGAAAAGATGTCCAGCCCTACTCAATTAGAAATGCAAATTATTAAATAAACCTCTACCAAGTTGACATTTTTTTGTGTGTGTCAGATTTATAGAAATCAAAACTCAACACACTGATGGTGAGGTTGTTGGGAAAAGGTATATTGCTAGGGGGCATGCAAAATGCTACTGTCCCCATGTGTATGAATTTGTTAACTACTTGTGTTACAAATGTATTTGCTCTTTGATCCAGCAGTTCCACTTTTGGGAATTTTACTGACACAGCAACAGAACACATTCAAAATGATGTACAAACAAGGATATTCATTGTGGTATTGTTCATGTGCTAAAAACACAATGTTGGAAAGCTTCAAAGTGTCTGTCTGTAGAAGACTGGTTGAATATGGTGTGTCCATGCATCATACCATGATAAATCTCTATGCACTGGGATATTGTGATTGGAAAAAGCAAGTAGTTGAAATACACATAGTATGTCACCTTTTATATAAGAAAGGGCAAGAAAAAGTATTACCTAAAGAGACAACAGAATAATAAAAAGAAACTAGTAAAAACTATAAAAACTGGAGGATGAATAGAATGGATGGGAACAGGTGTTAGAGTAAGGCATCTCAGTATATACCTTCCCATGTTTTGATTTTTGAGTCATACAAATGCATTAGCTATTAAAATTTTAATTTTAAAGATTAGTACACTAAAGGAATGTAAAATACATTCATTGACACTTGCAGGAAAATGAGAAATATGAGTTTCATTGAATTCCCCTCAAAACAGACATTTAGTTCTTTAAAATTAATATAACCTAACATTTATAACTTATAAAATACTAGTGGTAATTTCTTAAAACTGAGAACAAAATGAAGAAACCTGGTACCACTAGCAATATCATTTAACTAGATTTCCTAAAGCAATAAGAAAAGGAGATGAAGAGCAATAAATTTTAGAAAGGGAGGGAACCAAAATATTTGTATTTAGGAAATCTAAAGGGATCCACTAAAACATTATATCTAATAGTTTTAAAGTAAATAGGGAATAAATATATATCAATAGCATTCATAAATAAATACAAAATAATGAAAGTTCTCATTTAGAATGACAACAAATAGGAGTTAACAAGAGATTTTTTTTTGTTAGCTTTCTGGGTTATGAAAGAAAAAAAGGATATTTTATTGGTAAATGTAAAAGAAGATTTTTATTTATTTATTTATTTAAGACAAGGTTTCACTCTGTTGCCTGGTCTAGAGGGCAGTGGCGTCAGCATAGCTCACACCAACCACAAACTCCTGGGCTTAAGTGATCCTCCTGCCTCAGCCTCCCAAGTTGCTGGGACTACAATTGTACACTACCATGTCCGGCTAATTTTTCTGTATTTTGTAGAGATGAGGTCTTGCTGTATTGCCCAAACTGATCTCAAACTCCTTGGCCTTGATTGGTCCTCCCGCTTCGGCCTCCCAAAGTGCTAGGATTACAGGTGTGAGCCACCATGCCTGACCTAAAAGATTTTT